TATCTCTTCTTTATAGTCAAACGTTTCTGCCGCAAGGGCGTACCAGCTCAGTTTCGAAGCCATGTTTGGATGAGTCTATCTGGTGCTTTCGAAATGATGAAAAAGAACCCAAAAGTGTATCAGACTGCTTCTGTCACTCAACCGCCAAAAAATATTTTTACTACCATCATGGCAGGTGCGCACTTCTCTTTTCCTTTTCTTATTTTTCCTCCCTACTTTTACCTTTAGATCTTCCCAGAACATTCCCAGAAAACGCACACTTTTCGCAGGCAGAAGGCAAAGGTGACAAACTACAAGCTCTTCAACGGATCTTAGTGGCTTTTGCTACAAGTTTCCCCAAGATCGGATATTGCCAGGTAGAACAGCGGTCGTCTTCTAATCGGCATCAACACGCACTTAACCATTTAAATAATTACACCTCTGTTACCGGTGGACACAGTCGAAGGCATTTTAATTAGAACGAGTTGGCCTCCTGATTATGCCTCAGGTTAAGCTGCCAAGAGTAATCGTTCAACTGGCCTTATAGCACACCTTGTAGGCACTAAACGCCCTCCACATGGAATCCAACAACTAAGCTGTGATATTGCTTTCGTATCGTTAACTTAATTTAATTTTTAAGCCTCAATCATCTTTCAAGATAGTTGCGGATGCTGTATGAGTTACTCCAATTTTAAGTTGGCTTTTAAGGGTAACCTGTACTTCTTTGTGGTGCCATACGCTATTGGATTTAGACCTTAGGTCTGCTATGTACTAAAAACTTCACCTTTACGTGCGATGAATGTTACACTCACATAGTGCAATAATTCCTTAGGAGTTACACGTTGACTTTGTTGGAGTCCTTTTGATACTCTGTATTTCATGCCTTTCCCATTTGGTGGCTCGCCCTTTCACTGGACGCATCGAAGTGTGCGTATCCTTACTCCCTCTTGAATCTCTCTTTTTGCTAACAGATGACGCAGAATAGGCAAGAGGTTTTGGCACAGATATGCCTTGCCGCTATTTAATTGCATTTGCGTATCACAACACTGCCAACTTGTGTAAACACTTCAAAGTAGGTGTGTATGTGTGTGTTTACGAAACATCAGTGCGACTCTATGTCCGGGTGAAAATGTGCAACTCTTTGATTTATGTCCTGTGCATTCTTACTACTTTCACAAATTGTTACTTCTCACGTCATCGCAGCTGTGAGCTCTTTTTCTCCCTCTCCTCCTTCCCCCTCCCCCCAATAGGAAAGTCTTGTGCTGTCTTGCCGGGAGAGAATTTCATCTCTTCGTCCTGTTGGGGTGCTACTTGTTTGCCGTTCAGCTAGATACCAATGAAGTGCATACATTTCACATGTCCTTCACCACCTACAAGTGAACATTGCAACAAGCTGTTACCGAAAAATGCACAACTTGCTTTAATCGCTTTTGATAGTCAGGCTATCGTGTAAGTAGTCACATGAGTGAGATCCTTGCCAGGGCAGTCGAGCATATCCACCTCCTGTCTCCATTTGTTTATTAACCACTCTCCACACTCTGGTGAGTGAGCATGCATTTATCCGACAAAAGTTACAATTTAGCAATGAAGTTGTCTTCTTTTGGTGGTAGATTTGTTAAAATTAAACATGATAGCACTGAATGTGCGTTGAGAGGAGATTTCTGTTTCATGCCTTGCCTCTGAGTTGCTGTTTAGGTCTTCGAAAATGCTGAATAATGCGCATAACAATTTATTTAGTTCCTTTGCTTTGTTTACTCACTGAGGCGATGCATGCGATACTGTTGCAGGGACTCAACTACGTTGCTGCCACTCTCCTACTGGCAATGCAAGGCCTCCCAGACGCCGAGGCGGAGGAACGAGCCTTCTGGTTGCTTCACACCTTGTCTCATCACATTGTGCCAAACTACTACTCTGATCGTATGGTTGATGTTCGTGTTGACTGTCTCGTCTTTGAAGAACTGCTCAAGTACGTTTTTTTCTCCTCTTACTTTTCTCGTTTAAAGGTGGCTGTGGACAACTTTGAGTATTTGACACCTATTGTCACTATATTTTAGCCAACAGCTTTGTGTGTGCTTGTTGTTTTTGGCAGAGAATGTCCTTTTGGCGCTTTTTGAAAGCTGACGATTTGGTTAACCGAACTTTAAATAAGTTCACACTTCTCTAGGGAAGTGTGGCATTTCTGTAAATAATTGCAATGTCACTATTCGTGCCGAATGTACCGTAGTGAAAGAGTCACTATTTTATGGACTAGGACGATTCCAAAAATACTTCTCTCCTCCTCCTCCTCCTCCTCCTCCTCTTCCTTCTCGTTGGCTTTGCCAGAGTAATGCAACGCTATTTTTAGAGAAGTAGCGCTTCTTTCACACCCCTATTTGGCATGGTTTTTACCTCTAAATGCAGTCACGAGCTCAAAGTTTGTTAACTTGATTGACTGCCCACAATCCGGGTGGAATGAAAGTCAAAGCCTAGCGTTTTCTTGCCTCTTGGTCTTCTAAAAGTAAAAATCGTGTTTGTCTGGTCTAAACGCTGCTCTCGCCAATCGGTGAGGAGACACCGAGCAATGCAATTTAAACTCTCCCTAAAAGTAGGACAGAAAGGCGCCTCCAATGCTTGCCAGTCCAAAATTATTGTACAGCTACTTCTTGTTTAACGCGAAATGAGAGGTGGAGGCATTTTGCGTTTTCCTGATTTCCAAATTTTGACGTTTGGTCCTTCCAGCCAATCGCGTTGCTCCATCCCTCTCACCCCCTCGCCTCTCCTCTTTCCCCCTCTTTTCCCTACTGATCGTTAATTTTTGTAGCATAAAATCATTTAACCACTTTATTACCACTGCGAATCCTCCACGCTAATGCCCTTGTTTATTTTATTCCTATTGTTTCATTAAAATCTTGTTGTAGCTCAATTTTCACATATCCTCGCACATTCTGTGCTGTAATCATGTGACTTTCCCAGTACGTCAGGCTTGATTTTCACTTTTTAAGAGTCCATCTCAAAAGCAAAAGTTAAGCATAAATGAATTTCGACCGATCTGTAGGGACAGTGTCATTGCCGATTTCTTTTACAAATAATCTGTCTTGGTGTGAATCATGGCTTTCTGTGCAGCGAAGTGTGTGTGCATTCTTGCCTTGTGGGTGAGGAAATCGTGAGTCGTGCTTTTGAGAACTTCAATGAAACAAAAGTACCACTGATTGACTTCCTGCATCGTGAGCATAGTGCTTTCCACCTCAAGTAGACAACACTAGGTTGAGGGGGTAGATTTGGGGCATTGACTTCGTCCCAAGGTCGTTACCATGGACTGTTGGATGGCTGTGGAGACCTCGATCCTATTCCGGGGTTGCGCTGTGCCTTTCCGTTTGCTTCCAAGGATTTTGAAGACACTTTGAACGTGTCTCTTGAAATCAGGTGGCTTGAATGCACCACAGGTCATCCATTGGTCGATTTTGCCCATAGCTTGAAATAACCTTGGTTTTATCAGTAATGCGGTGCTTCGAACTACTAATGGAGGCCGAAGAAGACGTACCACCTCGGCTGGAGCATTGAACCGGCCATTAAGCCTATCCACAAGTTGTACAACTTGGAGGAGGTCAGAAGAATGGGACAGTTCTGCTGGGATAAAGTTTCATGCCTGTTTTGCCTTGAAGCTGTAGGCAGAGCAGTGTAGTGATGGACACCTTTTTGCGATCACAAAGTTAGATTAGATGTGTCATTGCTCAAATTTGCTTTTCGGTGTCATCGGTGTCGTATATGAATGCAAGTGACCACACAATCTCGGACGGAATGAATATGAGGTTATTGGCATATTTGACAAGCCATTCCACTTGCAAAGCGTCCCGAACTGACCCTCACTTGACCTCCTTCCACTTCTTTCCCGTGGAAGAAGAGGTCTGCTGCTGCACTGCTACTTTGTAATGTGCTGGGACTGGGTCGCTGAAACTCACAAGTAGTGTGATCAGCATCAAGATCACCGCATTCTTTAATTGGATCTCACTCTGATTTATCCAGTAAGGAAACTTTTCCATCCATGGAAATGCGAAAAACGGACCATCAGGACGCCTATTTACCGAGACAGCACTTCACAACTATTTTGGGTAAAGGGTTAAGAGAGAGCAACAATCTCGTGTTTCCGATGGCTTTGGATGGCGCAGTTGAATGAAGCGGGTCATTAACGCTGAAATAATCTGTTCGATAAAGCAGACGGTTATTGTTGAGAAAGCGGAGGTTGTGTCCAGCACACTTCACCCCTTGGCCTTATAACCAACTGCGCATGTTCATTCACCGTCCACTTGGCCTCTCACACCCTTTTCTTAGCCCATGATTTGGTAAACCCGAAGCACCTCTCTGGCCAACTTAAATGTCACAAAGACGCCCTCATTTTGGAGTGTAATACACCCTAAAAGCAAACAATCGAGACCGTAATCGAAGGAGCGAGAATTTACACACAAAAGGTCAACATTGTTTGGATAGATTATGAGGTAATGACGACTGCATTTGAGGGGAGCATTGGCCTACGTGGTTGAGGTTGCCAGAACATGTATTGTTCTTTTTTTTTCTCATATTCCAGGAAGAAGGCACCCAACATCTACAGGACATTGAAAAATGCCAATGTAGATTGCGTTGTTCTTGCTACCAAGTGGTTCATCTGCCTGTTTGCCGATGTCCTTCCCATTGAGGTGAGTTTGCATTTCTGGAGTCCGTGGCTTGACACCTCGAATGAGTCACCTTTCGTAAGGTTCAGAACGAAAAAAATGAATGAATGAATACGTGTGCCGAGATGCCCGTTAGAAGACCAAAGGAATGATTTTCGGTAGTGGAGGATGATTGCCTTTGCATATTGCGAAGCCGTTCAGTGGTTGCTGAAGGTTGACACACTTCCCGTTAAAATCGGATAACTCATTGAATGTGTAGATGGCTTCTGTTACGTCTCTGCCAGAAGAGAAATACAGCATCGCTTTGTGCATTACGCATCCTCATCTGATATGAATCTGCGTAGATTTCTATCCCACGGAAGGAAGTAGTCACTCGAATAAACAATAAGTCTCCTTCCACATCGTTTATTGACATCTGTCCATTTGGGACTGCCGATGGCGCGATAAGACGTACCAGTTATCTAGGCAGATCATTTACTTTTTTTGACGCACAAAATTATCAAGAAGCTGTGGTGGCAGGGAGGAAAAAGGAACGAATACCCCCAAGCTGTACAACGGAGAAATCCATTCGCATTCCATGATCCACCAAATCAATTACCTCCACGTACAGATTTCTACAGTACACTGGAACACGAATACTGCATTCTCACAAGCATTTTACGATCTCCAACTACCACCAAAATCGTTCTAATTGGCAATGCTTACCTTCCTTTACAGACTGTTTTGCGAATATTTGACTGCCTCTTCTACGAAGGTAATAAGATTCTCTTCCGCGCGTGCATAGCACTAGCAAAACTACACACTCGAGAGATCCTCTACTGCCAACAATTTCCCGATGTCGTGCTCACCTTTCGAGACATAACCCAAGACAAACAAACTCTCTACTGTCATGAATTTCTCAAGGTAAGTCATCCCATTGCTTACAGTCTGTTTTCTTTTTTCTGCCTCAAGTACACAACTCGTTCGATGGAAAGCACTGTAGGCTTGCCGCAACAACACAGCATCGTTATGTTGTAACTTTGGCATCCTTGTTGGCAGGGAATGGATAGGAAACAAGCAAAAAAAAGGTAGCATAATTAACTCATTCGGATTTGTCGTAAGCCAATTAAATCGCATCATCACAAATTGAAGTGCGATTGTGCCGTAGAAAAGACCGCGCAATGTCTACGCAATGATTGTTGATCCAAGAGAACGTTAGCCAGATGGTTGACTCATTCTAAATTCAACAAAGGTATGCATCTTCCCTATTATCAACCTAGGCCATGTTCACCCTCCCCGGATCCCTTCCACGATCTCTAATTCGCAAACTTCGAGGCAAATGCTTGGAAAAAGTCAAAATCACATTAAATGAGTTAGAGGCGCAAGAACGTGACTACCGTGAGCGGATGGCCCTACAAAATCAACAACAGCAAAAACAAACTCAACAAGATGAAGAACAAACGATCAACGACTCCTACAGCGGCGAATTTGGCGACAGTGATGATGAGAGTGAGGAAATGTTGAAAGCACAACAATCAGATGACGCAGAATCCTCACCATCCTTGAACGCCCCAATAAACCATGGCATCGGCAACTTATGAGATAACTTTCCTTCCGCTATTTGCTTTTTTGTTTTCCATTGCTGTGTAAAAATTCTTTTTTCCTACTTAAAACTCTTCAAAATTTTATTTTGATTAGATTCATTGCTACCTGCTTGATATCAACTGCGGTTATAAATGTTTCATTCCAATAATAAAGTGATAAAGCCCTGTTTGTGCCTACTTTAAACTCCAGTGGAGTCACAGTTAAATTTAAGAGATCTGAGGCCAAAAATACAACAAATATAGTCAGTAAACACTTTAGGAATGTCTCAAACGACTTGGAAAAGTCAAGTCCAACGTAAATACAGAAAAATGTAAAAAAAGGAGCAAACATCTAGTGGATGGTATTCTACGTCTCACTAGTCCAAAGGCGAATAGACTTGTCATATTCGAGGGCGCCGGAAGCAATGATATTCTGAGTTGGATGAGTAGCAGTACAGAGCACCACATCTGCAAAAGCAGCATTGTCAAGGTTGACAGTGACAAAGAAAACGGGATACCTGTGTGTCCCTCCAATGTCTGAACGACCTCTTTGGTTTGCAAGTCCCAAATGTACACCTTTTTATCTTCTGAGCCACATACAACCCACTAAAAGGCGTAAATGTATGCAAAACGAGGACCGACCTTGCCTCCCGTTACGGAGAAGTTGGCAAAGATGCAGTACTTCTCGTTGACATGTCCCTTGTACATTTTGAGACATCGTCCTTTAATATAGTCCCACAGTTTGAGAGTACTGTCTAAATTCGCCGCAAGGATATACTTTCCGTTAGGAGAAAACCGAACAAATGACACCGGTGGATTGTCCTGGTCTATAAGGGTCTTCAGGCACTGACCCGAAGCGGTGTCCCATATGCGACTGCGTGAAAAGTGGCTCATCATATTTTACAAACGTTTGCGATTTACCATAGACCGTCGTAACTGCATGAAACAATTAGCGTGCCATCTTTGTTGAAGTGAACGGCTGTAACTGGGTCAGAGTGTGCGGGTAAGGTACGAATACATCGTCCCGTCTTCACATCCCATAATTTGACACTCTCGTCAAACTATAAAATGGCATGATAAATTGAAGGGCTGACACATACCGAACCGGAAACAATCAAGTTTGATTGTGGGTTGAAATTACAACAGAACACATAATTGCTATGACCTTTCAGCGTCTTAAGGCAGTGACCAGAAGCAAAATCCCAAATTTTCAGACTCTTATCATCTGAAGCACTGCATAAAAACCTAGAATCAGAAGACCATGCGACATCAGATATGCCCTAAACGCAAAAAAATTCTTAATTAGAAACATCTAAAAGAATGACTTGCAAGTTTATGACCACTGACGGACTTTTCAAATTTCCCATCATAAGCATTCCAAATCTTGATCAATTTGTCTGCGGCTGGAGAAGAGAGAAATCATGGACATGTTTAAGCTTACAAGAACTGGCAAGCCATTGACCACAATCGGAGAACTTGAGGGAAGAAACTGCTTTCATGTGTCCCCCTAGTGTATACTTAAGTGTATACCGCGGCTACCAGGTGGAGAGTAAACTAAACTAAAGCTTACCTTAATGTCCGACCTCGTAGAAGGTAATGAATCTTCGACTGTACTCTGTGACGAATGTACCTCCTGATGGCAAGTGTATGAAAGATGTGAACAGTACAAAATCAGACATTCTCAGTATTTAAGCAAAAAGGAAAAGCTAAGATAGTCATGCATAAAGAAGTCGCTAAGATATAGATAAAGTCGAAAACGAAACAAACCCTGTATAAATAGATAATTATTCAAAACGATAAGAATGACTTAGATGTATCGCAGTGGGGTGGGGTAACGAGCAGATCGTCTACACAGAAATCGTAGCACGGATAATAATGTACAATGTACATGTGTAGCGCACAAGGTAGTAAGCACAAAATCAGCCAGCAACGAAAAATGTAGTGTTCAAACACGAAATAACAAATAAAAACAAAAGGTGAGGTAAGGGCTTGGCAAGAGACTCAGTCCCTTAGAACCATTCGAATTCTAGGTGTACAGTCACAGTGTGAAATCCCAAAAAGTTTCCTCAAAAAACAAAAACCACAACCAAAATTCAGTCGGAAGAATAAAAGCAATGAGAGGAAAACCTCACCGCCATTGGTTACTTTATTATTGTTCTTAACGAATTGTAAGGGTAATGGATGATTAAAACATTCTTTAAAAGGCTGATTTTGCGATACTATAATGTAATGCATTCTTTTGATCGTAATGTAACCATTTATTTTAAAAGCTTTGTTTTAGTATTTACAAAAAATAAACTTTAATGACTATTAAGTGAAGCCGTACTATTTAAACTTTTTAAACTTTGTGATAGGAGTAGGAGTACAGTACAGTACAGTAGGAG